GGGTGCTCGTTGAATAATTGCGAGTAGGCTTCCACTTAATTCGTTTGCCGTTTCCAAAAAAACATCAAGATCCAAAGTCAGATTTCCATTCACCATATACCTGTAACAATTTCGAAGTTTACTTATTTTCAATTACTATTTTTAGCGATAAATATATTATGGGAAGAGTTTGCAATTTGTTTTTACAAAAATGTTCTATCAGATGCATCTCCTCGGTTTTATAGCAACTTTAATATCAATGAAAACAACTAAATCACAAGGTTAGAAAAAAATAAATAAAAATATAATAATTTTTATTACATCCATATTTTTACATTTTTTTATTACCTATCAACTTCAGGTAGGTTCCATATCAACAACTATGTTCATCTTAATCTAAATATCGGACTAGTAAAATCTTATGCAGCCAGGTAACAACTTATTTCTTCATATAAACTACTTTTATACAAACACATTTTTGCTGTGTATTCCAGATTTAGTAAGAAACAACCAACAATTACTATCACAAACATCATTTACAACAAGTCCTACAGTATAAGAAAAAAATAGATTTACGCCTACAAATTTACTCCAAGGTCTAAGGAAACCTGGGCCAACACATTGTAAGTAAAATAATTAGGCTGGTAAAAAACAACTTTCAAAAATATATAAGTTTAAAAAAAAAATCCAATTTCTATAATTTCTCCTTTAATATGTTATAATTGTTATTGTCCTAAAACATGTAAAAACCTTAAAACCATAGCATAAATTCATGACACTTCAAATTACATTATTCTCATAACAAATCAATCTTCATAAGTCCAAACTTTATAGGATTGGTGTTAATAAAGAGGCCATCGAGCAGCTTGCTACGTGTATAGGTTGTGGGGTGGATTCGACTCTGTTTTTTTAATATCGTGGGCTTCCTGTTGGTCAACTCATGCATAGAAAAGCGGCTCGGGAATCTATTTTTGATAGATTTCGAAGAAGAAAAAAAACTTTCTATGTGGAAGTCCAAGATGTTGTCTATTGGGGGCCGACTAACCTTAGTGAGAGTTGTTCTTGGGAGCTTGAGAATTTATTTTCTTTCCATGTTTCGTATGCCTGTGTCGGTTTGCAAGGAGTTGGAAAGAAGTAGAGCCAGGTTTTTTGGGGTGCTGAAGATCATAATCGGGTTATCCACTGGGTCAAATAGGAGATGGTCCTTAATGATAAAGAAAATGACGGGCTTTCTATAGGAAGTTTGGAGTCTTTCAAGTAGGCGCTTTTATATAAATGGAGATGGAGGTTTCTAAATAGCCATAACCTTCTTTGGGTAGACCTCATCAAAAGTTGTAAATACGGTAGGGACCTGCATAATAGAAGTTTATTACCTTTTGATTTCATGCGTAGGAAGGTAGGAAATGGCCAAAGTATTAGCTTTTGGAATGATACTTGGTGCAGTGATGTTATGCTAAGAAGCAGGTTTCCTCGTCTTTTTGCTATTGCTAGTAATGTGGATGCGTTGATTAGTGAGCATTGGGATGGTCATTTTTAGAGGTTCCAGTGGTCCATGAATTTTGATGGTGATGTGCTTGCAGCTAACTTGCTTTAGCTCTCTTCTTTGTTAGAGACAGTACATCCTTCTGACATCAACGTCTCCTATTCGGAACCAATAAGATGAAAAAAGAATTTTTGTTTGATTCCGTTGTTTCATTTTCTTTTAATTGGAATTGTTATACGGATCGTAAAGCTAGTCGAAACTGGAATGAGTGGATGAAAATCCCCTCATGAATTAATTGTTTTTCTTTTGCTAGTTTTTCGCTAGTTTTTAATACATACAGTCGTTCAAAAAAAAATCGTACACTTTAATAACAAAAGGAAACGTTGATACCATATCCCAATCTTTTGTATTCAACTTAAAGATGGAAAAGACACCAATGGTGTGTTTGAAATGTAAAACCACATGATACATGATTCACTATTTAAAATTATTACAATTGTACGTGACTATGTCTTATATCTTGATATATTTTCACAATTGTATCATGACTAATAATTTTTTAAAACATTTTTTCAATATATGACCAAACTATCACTTAAAAATTGTTCATTCATTTTGCTTATACTCCACCGTCATAACAACGCTTAAACATTTTTACAATTGCACGATGCAACGGATCGTCAACTGTGATGTGATACACCAGATAGTGATTGACGATTATGATTTGTGAAGTGATAATTGATGCTTAAAGAAAACGACGCTTAGGACTAAATACCGATTCACGATTATTGTTTTACCCCTTTTTTAAATTTAATATGTATTAAAATATTCATATTTGATTATACCTTAAAAAGGTTGGGGTTTTAAAATATAAAATATAGCTGCATATTTTATTTTGCCAAAAGTATTAAGATAATTACTATAAATATTTATTACCTCCACAATTAGCGACAAAAGGGTTATTTTTATTACCTCCACAATTAGATGTTATATGTGTTACTCACAGAAGGTTTATTGTTTGTATTCCAGTTCATATTAGGATTAATTTTTTTTATGAAAAACTTTCACACGATCAACACATACATATCAATTCGGCTACATATAAAGTACGAAGGTCATCTTTAAATGCATAAAATATTAAACGGGAGCCAATTAAAAAGAAATAAGATAGCAATATCTATTATCATTTAAAAGATATAAAATAATTTGTGTCATTCATGGTAAAGCAGCTCATGCTACTAAATTGATACTCACCCGTTACAAACTCAACTAGAAGTCAAAACAAAACACACTTATTTGGGAATTATATGAGCGATTAATAGATATTTAATTCTGAAAACAAGAGAAATGACATGTTTGATGAGGGATATATATATATATATATATATATATATATATATATATATATATATATATATATATATATATATATATATATATATATATATATATATATATATATATATATATATATATATATATACAAACTGGTTCTAACGGGTATCCGGCGGGTAGCGGTTCCGAAAAAATGAAAAACCGGTCTAGAATTGACGGTTCCAAGGCGGTTCCGGTTCCGAAAGCGGGTGCCCTGTTATTCTACTCACCCCTAGTAGAAACTAATGATGCTTTTGGTTGTGGAGAATTTTCCAGTTTTTAAGGAAATTTTTCCAAGAAAAACGGAAATTTTGAAAACGCGTTTGGTACGTTCAGTTTTCCAAATTTTTTTCCAAGAAAATGAAAATTTTCAGTTTTCTAAATTGTATGTAAATTAGAAAAGTGATTTTTACAATTTTCCAAAAGTTTTTCAAATTTCGATGGAAAATGAAAACGCCACCGGTTTCAACCAAATGTGTTTTCTAAAATTTTCATTGAAAATTGAAAGCGAAAACTCAACTCTATTTTCTGAAAACATTTTCTTAGAAAATGAAAATAGTTTTCCACAACCAAACGCACCCTAAGGGTTAGGGTGCGTTTGGTTATGGAAAATTTTCAGTTTTCTAGGAAAAATTTCCAAGAAAAACGGAAATTTTGAAAATGCGTTTGGTTCGTTTAATTTCCCAAAGTTTTCTAAGAAAGTGAAAATTTTCAGTTTTCCAAATTATATGTAAATTCGAAAAGTGATTTTTACAGTTTTTCAAATTTTTAAGACGGAAAATAAAAACTTCACCGGTTCCAACCAAACGTGTTTCCTAAAATTTTCATTGATAACTGAAAATGAAAACTCAACTCTATTTTCTAAAAACATTTTTTAAAAAATGAAAACAGTTTTCCACAACCAAACACACCGTAAGCAATTATAGTATTGCACTTTTAGTTTTTTTCTTTAAAAAAAAAAAAAAAAAAAAAAATACTAACCAAGATATGTTAATCTTTAGTGTTAAATAGCATTGCAGGTTCTTTTACCAATGTTGCAATGGGAAGCGACTGCCTTTGGTCGCTCGTTTCTTCCGCTGATTCTTGTAGCTTCTTTGGCATTTTTCTTAGCGTTGGTGATTTCTGCTGGCCCTTTCATGTGGTTTGTAGGGATCATATTTGGTTATGGAGTTGGATTTGTAATAATCAGGGCTGGAACAATTATTGGGGTGGATATTGATCAAACAAATGCAAGTACCACATTGAAAAGAATGGTAACAAAATTTGGGATTTAGTACTATATTGCAGAAATTGAGCATATTTCTGCCTAAAAATTTATATAATAATTGCTATTTTATTCTCGATTAAATGGATAAGTAGATACTCCTTTCAAATTGTTGGAACTTGACTGACCCCTTTTCTTTCTTGACTTATAATTAGGGTAATAAACATAAATCAAGTGAGGGCAAACAGTAACACATGGCTCGAAGGGGACTTGGGTAGTTATACCACGAATGTATGTTAACGTTTAGTGGTAAGTACCTATATAATTTGGGTTATTTTTACTAACTTCTAATTGTTATGATACAAACTTAAATGCAGCATCTGATATGTTTTTGGGTGGTTAGAAGATGAGGCTTCAGAAGAAGAAATGGTTGAGGTTGTTAACAAGCAAAAAAAAGATATAGAACATGCTAAATGCAACAGATACCGATCCACATATCATCTTTTTTCTTTATTATAGCATTTTTCCTTTGTTTATTTCTATTATGGCATTAATTTTCATATAGATTTTCTTTCATCATTCTATATTAAAAAAATTCTATCGATTATATCAATGACAATGTTATTGAGTTGAATTTTGGTCAAACGACAAAAATTAACAAGTTTTGAAAAATAAAATAGAGTTTCAATTCGGGTGTGGGTGTGTAGAGAAAGCAATCAAAGAGAACTGGAAAAACTTTTCTTAAGGTTTGTCGATATTTTACGTATTAATCTTGATAAGGTGTTTGATAAGATATTCATATGAGAAATAATTTGGGTTTCTTTTCCATACATAATCATGTGTTTGAAATTCTGTGTATAGTTTATATAAACAAAAACCTGAAGCATTGATATAGAAATATATAAAATAAACTGCAGGTATATACACCAATACACCATCATTCATCGACGCGAAAAGCGGAAACCCTTAGCTACAAACTAATTATCAAGGAAATGATTTTCAAATGAATATGTCACGATCGCGACTTAAAAGTTGAACCGAATCAATTTTAATTTACAAGAACGTCCACTTGAAATTAAGAATTTAAAACAAACACCCCTTAACTTCATAAAACTTCACTTTTCTCTCCACATTATCAACTTTTGACCTTTTAACACCCTCGGTACACCAATACTTAATGCACATAGATAATTACTCGAACTAACTAGGCCTTGACTTATTTATGCACTTAATTCTTGGATTTTCATAGAGGTTCCTTATTACTACTACCTCTAACTTGAAAAATCATTTGTTAAAGATATTTATTTGATCAAATTTAACATTATTATTATTATTATTATTATTATTATTATTATTATTATTATTATTATTATTATTATTTCATTAATAAGTCCATTCTTGAGGGAGTTTCCTCTCTAAATGGTCAGTTGACGTCGACGACACTTGCAACTTGTGATGCATACCACCTCTTTGGCCTACAGTATAAGTAAGGACAATTTAACATTAAGAATTTGTTTGTAATCATATATATAAATCCAAGTAATATGTATTGTTCAAAAAGTTAATAATTTAGTAAAACATACCATTGGAATTGGAATTATCATACTGAATATGATGCATGTTATTTGTAGGTGAACGTGATTTCATGTTGTTGAAATGTTGTTCTAATGCATGTAATACTCTTGTTGGAACGAGCACTGTTAAACAACCTGTATAATCGATTTGAAAATTAACAAATTCTTCAAAGAAAAAAAAACTTATAAAATGTTATCAGAAACTTCTAGTAAAGTTTTTCTCTAATGGACCATATTAAATTTATATTTATATCAAAAATACCATTTAATATTTTGAAAATATTAATAGGAAATACATTCATTATTTGTAAATAATTATCTTATTATTGATAGCATATGTCATGCTAAAAAGGTAAGAGGAAGAAACAAGTTTTTTATTCTAAAATAGTATGTAATCTTTGGGTGGGCCCATTGGTTGTGTCCGTGTGAACTAATAATCCACGAATTTTGAATATTCCAAAAAAAAAAAAAGAATCATTTAAGATATACATTTAAGATTCCAAGCCAATGGAAATATTCCAAGTATACATGGAATCCAATATATCATGCAAAAATTTATGAAAAAATATTAATATATAGGGTCTCAATTATTAGAGCAACACAAATGATTTTTTAGCAATTAAAATGCATAACTAGGAGTGAACAAAAACCGCACCGTAAGTAAAATTAACCGCATAAACGGCAACCGCAATAAAAAACAATGGTGAAGTTTTATGTTTTTCAGAAACCGCAAATTTGCGATGCGGTGTGGTTATTAGTTTTCAAAAAACCTCAAAAAAATTGTAAAATCGCACCGCACCGTATATATGATATACAATTTTTTTTATTAATTATTAATATATTAAATATTAAAAATAAGATAAGTTTCATGGATGAAAAAATGATAAAATTCTAGAAGACAAAAATATTGGTTTTTTATTATGTTTAACTTTGGAAAATGATGAAATTTGATAATTTTAAGATATTTATTGTTAATTACTAGTGATGTGATGTTTTTAAGATATTAGTTGTTTGTGATTTAAGTTAATTGTCTTATATCTTATGATTTTTTTTAATTTTACAAATAATATGTTTGAACTCTTAAAACAGTTTAAACTTTAAATTGCAGTTAAAAATCATACAAAATAACAGCACCAAATCCGTGCAGTTAATAACCGGAATACAAAAAAAAAAAACAAAACTGCACTGCAAAAATAACCGTCTAACTGCAATGTAAAAATAACTGCATCAAGCGGTTTTGAAAATGGATTAACCGCATTTACGGTTAGTGGTGAAGTTTTTGCCAATAACCGCACCGCGCTCACCCCTAGGCATAACTATAATCAATTATTGTAATTTTAATAAATAAAAAAAGTAATTTAAATGTGTAAAAAATTTAATTGATATTAAGAGAACTCAAATTTTGAAAGAAAACAATAATCTATTTATTTTTCTCTAATTTTATGAGATTGTTGTTTTGATATCAATGAGATCTTAATGGAAATTGGGGTAGCCGGTGCTCTACCCCTTCAAAAAATTTGGTGCAATAAATTTTTTTTTGAAAAAAAAAATTGGTATAGTTTAATTTTTCGATCTGTTATCTTTAAAACTACGTATGTTACCTTTGACATTTGTTGCGAGTCCTCTACTGATTGATATAGATCGATATACATTGTTTTGTTTTGGTTTTTTTTTTTTTTTTTTTTTTTTTTTTTTTTTTTACATTTGAGAACTTACACTATGGTTTTATGAAACAGTAACAATAACATTAAATGATATACATAAACATTCGAATCTAAGGATATTTAAATTAGCGGACATGAGAAATAGGCTATTTCTTAGTATGTGTCATGTCCCCTTCATCCTTGCTTTTTTTGCTACCCTACATTATTTGTCTTCATCATAATTATTTAGGACCACGACTATCCCTGGCTTCCCCACCTTGATATGTTTTGCTTGTAACATTTTTTAAGGATTCTTTAAATCTATAAGAATAAGAATATATTGTGTTTCGTTTTCACTAACGAAGAACAAAATATATGAAAAGATTCACAAAAATAACCTTAAACATATACATGCATAGTTTATGTTGACATGAACCATATATTTGGGTCCACAAAGAACTCGTGTCAATTGCCGTTCATAACTTTATAGCACAGATATTTTGATGTTTTTTATTTTTATTTTATTTTATTTTTTAATAATTCTTTTACATGTATTTAATGCCATAAAACGTTCTTTCATAACTATCAATCAAATTTTCGATGATTCCAAGGTTGAAACTACTTAAAAAATATTGTAAAGCATATGGGATTTTACACTATAGGTGTCCAATAAATCATACATCAATTGTCTATAAATAAGCCTAAAATTGACTAACAAGATTATGTTTCGCATGAAAATGGCAACTATGTTGTTAAAAAACACAAATTCAATTTAATTAGCATAATTTAGGATACTTCTTAGATATTGATTTAAAACGTAAATAATATATATTATATTTAAATTTTGTATATAATTATTTACAATGACTTTTAATTAGCAAGATTAAGATATAAGATTAGTGGATGTTTAAATTAAGACGCAAGTGGTACCTGGTTTTTTGCGGCGGTTAGCGGTTGCATCGGTGGCTGAACGAGGCAAGAACACACCGGTACCATTCGACCCGTTTTTTGAACCCGGCCCGTTGAGGAAAATGGCTCTCATACCCGACCCGGTTGGAGACGTCATTGGTCCATAACACACTGGACGCATTCTCGATCCTTTGGAACTGGAAGATTTCAACTGCTGAGTCGACTCAGTCATCTTTCCTTTCCTTCCCCGCTTCGAGTCTTCCGTAACTCGGTTTTGATTTGGATGCTTTACCTGATACGATTACATCAGCAGATTACAAAACAAGCAAATAAATCGTATTACGTAAGAAATTAGGGTTTTCCAGTAACCTCGGAGATCGGTTTCTGAGAAACATATCCTTCGGGAGATGTGTACTTATCGTAAGAATTATCATCGTCATCTTCTTGAAGCATGTAATCCGCCATTTTTCGAGTCAACTCAGCAACGAACTCGTCTCCATCGTCGTTGTCAGTCTCGCTTGAATCCTGCTCCGACCCGAACGAGGTATTCAGAAAGGAAGAAGAAGAGCCCCATGAGCGGGTGAAAGCAGACTCGGAACTCAATGGATTCGGATTAACGATGTACTGATCAGCACCGAGTAAGCTCGAGTGATTTGAATCATTAAACTCATCGGCCATGGGAGTTCAATGCTTTCAAGTTTCAACAGAAAGTATATTTATTCACTGTGTGTTGATGTATGAGAGAGAGAGAGAAAGAGAGAGAGAGCTAGAGAGGGAGAGAGAAAGAAGGTGAGAGGGAGTTGTGGTTTTAGTAGTTACACAAACACCATTATTCATTAACAAATAATACATCTAAATTTTAAGAAACATGTATTTAACGTTATAAATATACTTAATTTGTTTATAAAAACTGATTTATAATAACTTTAAATAAAATATTATATCTACATAAAGAAAATTATGAAACAAATAGAAAACATAAATACTAGTCGAATTGTTAACATATAATAACTTTAAATAAAATATTATATCCATATTAGTAACAATGAGTTAATGAGTTAGGTAATAAGAATATCTTGGTTAACCTATACTAAAATTAAAAGTTATTGTTATCTCATGCCTTTATTAATTTTAGAGAAAATCGTAAAAATTGTCGATGCAATATATGAAAAATTACGACTTTGGTTCAAAAAGTTTTAGAGGTGCACCATCGGTTCAAAATATGAGTTTTATTGTAGATTTGATCCAAATTTAAAAAAAAAAAAATACTTAAAATGAATGATTTACCCTTTAAATTTTGTTTTTTTTCCTTTTATTACATCAATTAAAAAAACAAAAAAATACCACCCCACCTCTCTCTCTCTCTCTCTCTCTCTCTCTCTCTCTCTCTCTCTCTCTCTCTCTCTCTCTTATCGAGACCTTTTCTGGGTTTCTTCTTGTTCACTCCTCCCTATTTTCTTGGTTTGTTATTAAACACACACACACACTCTTTATATTTTGTTCTTCAACACACATAGATGAACTCCATAAATGAACTCAAATTTTGAATATAACCCCAAACACGGTTTTTAATTTCAGAAAAAGAAATCCATAAATGATTACTCATGAACACACAATCCATATTTCTAGATTTTTTCAACACATACAGAAACTCCATCAATGAACCCATATTTCGAATAAAATCGCATAAACGATTTATGATTTCGAAAAAAAAATCCAGATACGGTTTTTGATTTTGTATGTGTATGGTCATCCTCATGTTTTGAATCTTACCTCTTGAATCCACGATCCGGTAACCGGGCCCCACCCAGTTGGTTCCTTATTCATGTATATAAAGTTTCGACAACCGACGGTATTCATTTTCTCCAACAAGTCGTTGTCGCTGGTGGTACATAGAGAATAAAGAACGAAGCTTCACTGGAGTTGCCAAACCATATTCGGAAAAGATGTGTTGTTACATAGTGTTGTCGTAGATCATCCTAGTGAGCTCTGAAGAAGACGAACAGAGCTTCATTGGTGTCGATGGTGAACGAACGAAGGTCAGTGTGCATCTATCACTGCCAGTGACCATAGGTCCAAGAAAACTGAAGCACCCGATACTTTCAGGTAAATTCCTTCCTTTATTCTTTTAAGTTTTGATATTGGGTGTGTGTCTATGTAGGGCGTAGATAGCCTTCTACGCGCTACGTAGAAGGAAACTTGGAGTCGGGGTTTTAATGATCTACGCAGAGCGTAGATCTTGGTACGTAGCACGTACTTTCCCAGAGCCTAAACCTTAACTTCGGGGTTTTGAGCCTTATTTAAGGGCTCTAACTCTCATGAGACCCTTCCATTCACATCCTTTATTCCCCCAAACGTTTCCCTTGAAACTCTAATTCCATTTTTGGTGCATTGTGAGCTTAAAGAGTGTTTTTGTATGCTTTTGAAGAAAGAAAAAAGTGGTGGAGTTGCTTACAAGCTTGAATCAGCCTTGGATCTGGAAGTCCTTTTCCCTCATACATCTCCATGAGATATAAAGTCTCCACCTTTATGAGTTTTTATGATAAATCTAGGTTATGCTTAAGGACTTCCATGTTTTGTCCCCATAACTTTGGTTCTTATGAGTATAAGCTACCCTTGGCCATTATGGTATCATTTCCAGTCAATTTTGGAGTTGTTAAGACATAAAAATGAGAGCTTGGTCACTCTCATTTCCCCATGCATGAATTATTGGACAATGGATGGCTTTTGGACCTAGGGTGTGGTTTGGTGTCCTTAAGATGCATGCAAATGGATAAAGTGAGAGACTTTATCCATTAAGACGTTCATTTAGCTTAGATCTGGAAGTTTGCTGGTATAATTGTTAACTTGTTGTCGCGGGCGTATTAAACAAATAAAATTTCACTGCTGGTTGCACTAATAATATAGCACATGGAAGCATGGTCGAATCCTCAGGTACACAGTCTAATGGTCAATGTCGTTTTGCATCAGGCACATTCTAGTCAATAAAACAGAAATTATAAAAGGGGTTTTTGAATTAAACTAAAAAATAAAAATTATAGTGAAAATAAATTAAAAGAAAATCAATAATAAAAACGATTTCAGTTCTGCTGCGACTTTCCTAATCATGCAATCATTTCAATATGGTTATTCAGAATGCGTTTTATCTAAGCTGGCACTGAGAAAAACTAACAAGATCTAGTATAATATCTTTTACCTAGTTAAATTAGCCAAAAAAAAGCTCTTCATTTAACCCTAACTTTTATTGTCTAATTAAACAAGCTCTTAATTAAGATCAGAAAAGTTGCATTAAGATCTGTGTAAAATAGTCAGCAATACCCAATACTTCGTTCAAGCTCGAAAGCGTAAATGTATGATTTTTTACAGTTTATATCAGAGTTAAATCCCAAACATGGAACCAATCTGATTGTAACATCCCCATCTGGCACGTATCACCCTATTGTCCTCTTTGGGCTCCTGGCACAAAAACTTCCCAGGGGTCACCCATCCTTGGATTGCTCTCACCCGGGCTCGCTCGTTCGGAGAATATGTTAGGTCACTTGCAGTTTGGGTTAAATAATCTCAGAGTAAAGGATTTGACCTTGTTGCGCAGCTCTCGTCTGAGTCTAACCGTTGCAGGGATAAGTCTTCTACTCGAAAGATTATCTGATTCGTTTGTCAAATATAAGTGTATTGCAGCAATAATTGGTCTGTGATTCTGTTTACTAGTGGGAACCTCAAGTTATCAAAAATTAGGTAGTCATTTGGGAGATAAGTGGAATGGATTTAGCAAAGGTTCAGTATGAGCGACCTGTCAGGGAGTCAGACCATCTCGAGATTTCAGATGTCAGGTTGAGTAGATGTGGTTATTTTGCAAGGGATTATTGTTGGGTGGTGAAAGGATTCGTTCGTCTTCGGGTTGGAGAGCCCTGCTAGGTTTGGTTTCGGTTGCCTTGGGAAGGTTCTGGTATGCTCGGGTTCGTGGCCGTGTTGTTTGGCATGTCGGGGATGGTGAGGAATGATTTCGAGGATGAAATCTAATTTAAGTGAGGGAGAGTTGTAACGCCCTGTTTCGAATCGTTTCCTATTACGGGGTGGTGATCAAGAAGTGGGTATTATCAGACTTAGAACCCTTGAAGAATTGAGGTTTGGGCTCATTTGGGGGTGGATGATGTAATTTGGATGATCCGGGTATTCGGTTTGTGTTTTAGAGCCCAAGGGTATCAATAAAGGCGTTGGTTCGGGCCTTTTATGAATTTTGGATTTGAGTTCGATTGGTTTTTTGGAAAAAGTAAGTTGATAGGAGTGTAGGGTTTCTCGTTACTTTTCTGTGGATATAAAGAACGTCGCAAAACGGATAAGGAATGCAAAAGTTATGATCATTTGAAGTTAGAAGGGTTTTGGACCAAACCGGGTACGCGGGGCGTACCATGAGGGAACACATGGTGTTCATGGGAAAATTAGATGCGGGCACTTTTGGGGAACGATGGGCGTTCGTTGGGAACGTTGGGCGTTCGTAGGCCAGATGAAAATCCTAATTTAGGGTCTTGGACCCTATTTAAAGACCTTATCTCACATCCAACTCTAATTTCCTTCAACCTCCATCCTCTCTAACCCTAAGAACAAAACCCTAGCCTCCATTTGAGTGATTCTTGAACTTCATGGTGGTTTAAGTGTGTTTTTAAGTTTGTTTTATATTTTAATTTAGGTTATGTAATTAATAATATATTTAAGTTAACAAATTAAGTATATTATATATTGATAATTCAAGAAGTCTTCCATTTATGATATTGTTTATAATATGCAACACATTTAAGTTAATAAAAGTATTATGTGGAAATATGAAGAGTTGGGAGTTTCAAATGGATGTGGTGAAAGGAAAAATACTCTCATTATAATAGTACTAGACGAATTCTCGCGCGTTGCGCAACGTAGTTTAAAAATATATTGTTAAAATATTGAAAAATATATGTTTAAAATGGTTATGTTATTGACATTAACTTTGACATAATATTTTGAACAATATTATTTATTGACATCAACCCACCTCCTCATTAATAAAATTAAATATAATTATCTATTTAATATTATTTTTAACAATTGTTATGATTGATTAATTTAAATTTTTACTTATGCGATTACTTTCTAATTTCAATAATGATGTTCATTTAAAATACAATTAATTTGTTGTCAACGTTATGTAATTTATAAAATGATGTTATTATTATTTAAATTTATTGTTCTTTAGTTTTAAACCACTTATTATTATTAATAAGTTAAAGAAGACTTTTAAGAAACACTTAATATTAATATTAAAATGTGAAACATACACTAAATAATAAACTGATAAGATAGATAATTTGCATTTCAAAAGAGACTTGCATGGATAATATGACAGATCCATGATTTTTATAATTTAATTTTATTATTTTATAATTATTGTTCATTAATTTTAAAACCACTTATTATTATTAATAAATGAAAAAAAAACTTTTAAAAGACACTTATTATTATAATTAAAATGTTAAACATATACTAAAATATAAAGTGATAAAATAAAAAATTTGCATTTTAAAAGAGACTTACATGGATACTATGAATAATATCACATATCCATGATTTTTAATTAATTATTACTTTGAAGCAACACAAACATACAAACATATATACAATATTTAATTAAATATTATCTATATCAATTTCCATAACATATGATCGATAACATGAATCTAATATAATTACATTAAAGTTTCAACCACAACATACAATGATCGTCTTAAAAGAATACTTAAACCAAGAAA